GAGCGGCTCAGCCTCGCCTGTTGCTTGGCAGAAAAGGTGATGTTTCTGCTCCTGACGTCACCCGGCCGCGCACGCTGGCTGCCAAATGGCTGGCGGGGAGGCCCATGCCCGGGCAAGCTCACCAAATTTGCTTATGCTGAGGGCAAATCCCCGGCTGAGCAGGAACACGTAGGAGCCACGACACCCTCACACTGGGCTGGAGCCGGGTTGGAACTCAGTAGGGGGCTCAGAGACCCCATCCCAGGGAGCCAAAAGCAGCAGCCAGCCAAGTCTCACACCCTCCCCAGCCAACAAACCCACCGGCCCTGCTTAGTTGCTGCTCATAGCAATTAAAGCAGATTCAGCTGAGCTTTCACCTGCCATCAAAACTCCCCGGAGAGTCTGGTATCCTGCAGACTGCTGCTGCTCTGAGACCAGAAAAGCCAGAGCTGACGCACGCCGGTGTTTTAATCCATTAGCAACTCAGTGGCAAGACTGGAAAAGCAGGAGAACATCTGCAGAGCTCGGCAAATGTCTAGAAGTTGGGATTTGCCACATATTGCAGCCAATTTGCTGGCAAGCGATGCAGCGGGGCAGGAGGCTGTACGGAAACTAGGGCAGTGTCTGGGAGCTGCTTCGTAAGCCAGGAGATGCTAACGAAACGTACGTCGTTATCTCAGTGCCTTCTGAGGCAATTAGCAAGCCAGCTTGGGCAAGGCGGTCGCTTCGTTGAGCAACGGCGAGTGCCTGGGGAGTGATTCACCGGGCTCGGCAGCCGGCCAAGGCACCGGGTGCGCGCTTGTCTTGGGAGAGATTAAATAAACAGATCTTATTTAGAGCAGAGATACACCGGGAGCGAGGAGGTAACCGGGCACCTCGCTTCTCGGGAGGCTTTGTTTCCCTGGGTGTTACCTTGAGAAAAAACCCCACGGCTGCTTTGTGCCTTTCTGCAAAAAGTTTGGATCCAAGCAGGAGAGATCGAAGCCCTGGGAGAGCTGCGAGCTGGTGATGCGTGGAGGGTTCAGCCTCGGGTGCGAGCAATACCCAGCTGGTACCCATGTGTAGGGACAACAGGGGACAGGGATGGGAATTGCCACTCCAGTCTGCTTGTCAGCCACCTGCAGCACCCGCAGTGCTGCCCAGCACCGATTTCCCCTGGCCACGCCAGACAAAAAGGTGAATGCTACAAACAAGAAATAAAACACATAAAAAAACTCCCACCTTAAACTTATCCACTCAGTGCATAAAACATCCCTGGAAAGTCACTCAGGAAACTCCTTTTGCTGCACACTGAAACCAGCGCTGAATCACTGCCCCACCACCGCACCAGACACGCAGGAGCGGGGACCAGGGTTGCCCGAGCTCCGTTTGCACCCTGGTTGTGCCGGCTCATGGTCTGCAGGGAGAGAGGAGATCCCAGAGAAGGAGATGAGGAAGGCTGAAGGTGGGGGAAAATACTTTCGGTGGGTTGGCACGCAAAAAAAACAACTTTGGAGGGCATGACCCGGTGACGACGCGGTGCCTCTGGTAATGGCATTGCTGACATCCCAGCAGGAACAGGAGGAATGTCTGTGCTTTCATAAGAAAATATTTTCTCCCCACCCCAGGGAGACCATTTGAGAGATGCTATCTGCTCAGCTGCAAAAATGTGCCATGGAGACGCACAGAAACATGAAGCCAGACTGGGGATAAAAGCCATTTTCTCAGACCACCCCCAAAAGCAGAGCTAGATGCTCAGATTTAGGAGCACAGCAAGGGGAGGAGGGGTTGGTAGAGGACGAGCTTAGTGCCCTTGAGTCCATGTGCATTGTCCTGGGGTCACCTCCACCTCCTAAACCTCATGTTCATCTGCCACTGGGGTGGGGCTGCAGAATCACTTTTCCCCTGGTGGCATGAACATAGGTTGCAGGAGGTGGAAAGCTTGGCAGCATTATCTCACCCGTGGATGCAGGCAGAGCCGAGTTCAAGAGGTAGAAAACGCTGCCTGATACATGGGCCAGGCAGGAGATTCTTGAAGCCAAGCCCACGGTTTGCTGCGTGACCTTGGGCAAGGTATTTTATCTTCCCATCGCTGTGGCATCCTCTGAGCTGGCCCTGAAGAACGTTTCCCACTCCTCACAGGGGCTGTGGAGCATCTGTGGTGGCATCAAAAGAGGGGTGAACGGTGATCTGAAGACCTTTGCTGCTGCTCACACCTGCACCTTTGCTTTTCAGAACCTGCGAGTCCGAAGCACGGGGGGGACAGAGTTTTTCACGCGCTCGGCTACCAAGTTCAAGGGGGCTTTGGCCCAGAAGTTCATGTTTGTGGACGGGGACCGGGCGATGTGTGGATCCTACAGGTAATCAGCCACATCTTGTGCTGGTCAAAGGACCGACACAGACCCAAGTGGCGGTTCTTGCCCAGCACAGCCCCAGGGCCTCATCTCAGATTTGCTTCCCTCCTCCTAAACTGGAAGAGGGATTTGCAAGGCCAGCTTGAGATTTGGAGTGGGACCCCACGGCCAGGCCTAGGACATCCCTCCTTCTCGGAGGTGGTGGGACGCACCAGCTGCTTCTGCCAACGGGCACAAGGAAGGACAAAAGCACCAAACCGCAGCCAGTGCTAGCTTTCGTGTTGACCTCAGCTTTTCCAGTTAAACATTTCCTATCCAAAGTGTTTTCCAATTTATCCAAACGGAAACTTACTTTGGTAGAAATAGATCAGTCTCGATAAATTTTGCAGCTCTAAGAGACAAGTTCCACAAATGTAGAATTGAAATATCTCCTACTTTCTGGCCACAACAAGAAACATCCTTTTCTGAGTCACTCTTAGGACAAGCGGCCAACACTAAAGTGAAAAATTAACTGTCCCACATCAAATACCTTTTATTTTTACCTCAAGTTTCAAGGCTTCAAACCCTTCATTCTAATTTGGGATGAGAGCTATTTCTTCGATCTCATTACTATTGTTCACAGGGAGATCATGTCCTCACCAGTCCCTGGCGGGAAGCCAGGGCTGGGGAGAGGTGTGTTATTTGCCAGCGAGGGCTCAGGGGTTTTCCAATGTGTTTCTGTTCCAGCTTCACCTGGTCTGCGGCGAGGACGGACCGAAACGTCATCACGGTCCTCTCGGGCCAAGTGGTGGAGGCGTTCGACAAGCAGTTCCAGGAGCTCTACCTCATGTCCAAGGGGGTGAGCCTCAAGTCCATCTCCATGGGTGAAGAGCCCGAACCCGAGCCCGTCACGCTGCCCTCTGTCGTGCCGGTGACGCCCGCCAACGCCGTGGTAAAGAAGCTGATAAACCCTAAATACGCCCTGGTGAAGGCCAAGAGCGCCGACCAGATCAGCAAGACTTCATCCGAGAACCAGGAGAAAAACCAGAAGACAGACAACAAAGGCAAAGCCCAGCCCGAGGGCCAGGCGGGTGACAAGCACGGTGACGTGGCAGACCTCTCCCTGCTCATCCACCCCGGCCTCCTGAACCTGGAGAAAGCCAACATGTTTGACTATCTGCCCACCTGGGTCGAGCCCGACCCCGAGCCCGGGAGCGAAGTTTTAGGCTACATCAACATTATTGACCCCAAGATAAAGAACGTGAAGCTCTCTCAGATGAACCGCATCAAAGTCTGTGACGTCTCCCAGGCCAGCGCCCAGCACCGGCAGATGCTCAAGAACAGGGAGATGGAAAACAAGAAAAACTCAGACCAAGAGCTACCCTTGGTATCTCCCTGCCAAAGACAGGCCTCCATGGAAGCACCTGCAGCCCCCGCTGCCAGCCCTATAGATGGTGCCAGCTGGGCAGCAAAGCAAGCAGGAACATTTGCCACTTCACCGTTGGGCCACCGCTTGAAGCCACCAGAGGAGACATTGGGGGACATCAAGCCCCCAGTCCCAAAGCCAAGAACCATCCCCTTCGGCATCCTTGTGACCAAAGTCATTACGCCCTGTGACAGTGGCACTGTCCCCGAGGGTGACACTCAACCACTGCCAGCTGACCACGCGGGTGCGAAGCAGGAACCGGAGGAGAACCCCAACAGAGCTTCACTGGAGACCCACCACCTCCAGCCAGAGCGGCCGGTGGCAGGGCCACAGGAGGACCAAGGGCCTCCCTGCACCCATAATGGGCTGGGAGAAGAGGAGGAGGAGGAGGAAGAGGAGTACATCACTCTCAGTGACCAGGAGAGCTACTCCAGCAGCTCTGCTGACCACAGCTACCGCCGCTCCAATGCCTCCTCCATCTCCGACGAGTACTTCGAGGTGAGGGATCGTTACGGACCGCTCCGGAGAACCAACTCGGACGTCACCCACAACGGGGAGATCCTTCCCATACAGAGGAAGCTCAGTGACCCTCACATCAGCCGAGGCACCTTCCTCAGCCCCCTTGGCAGCCTCCCATCCCTGAAACACGTCCGCCTGGAGGACGTGGCGAAGAGGAGGAGCAACGCCGTGGAGATCAGGTGTGTGCTGCCCCGCACCATCCTGGATGGCAACAGCTCCTACCCCAGCAGTGCCGCGCAGGTAAGACTTTTTGCTACCACCTTCCCCACCTTACAAAGGTTACAAACCTAGAGGTGGCCCAGCCAGCTCAACCAAGGCGTGGTGTCATCCCTAGCTTCGGTGTCGCGTCCTAGATGCCGCGATCAGACCTCCCGTATGGGAGAATAACGCCAAGAGGTCCTCACGGTTGGTGGTGGCCATGCCGCAGCCTTTGGGGTTTGGGATTGCAGTGGGATCAGCTGAC